CATGGTGCCATCAATGTATATTTTCCCGAAAAAAATTTTGTGGTCCTGTGTAGTTAGCTATTTCAGCTAATTTTTAGCTACCTTAGCTAACCTTAATTGCTATTATATGGATAGCAATTATTGTTAGCTAATGCAGCTAATAATTAGCTAAATTAGCTAACTTTTTTTGCTAAAACAGCTAATTATTAGCTGTAATAGCTAAAAATTCGCTATCCATATAATAGCAAACTCATTTTTCTCCGTGCAGTTAAAGGTTAAGTATGATTTTTTCAAATTTATTGTTAAATGTTTTTTATAAGAGCGTACCAAATTTTAATTTGGTATCCTTGGTAAATAAAGTAAGTTATAAGCTTCCTCATAAGCCTCTTCATGTTTGTCGCGAGCATATTTATTGTCAAAAACCATACAAAATTGACTAATTCAATGCATTTGTCCAAAATCACGCACTGACATTTATAATGCTATCTCGCAAACTAAACAAGATTTTTGAACGTTTTTGGTCTTTAATTAAAGATGAGACTTGAAGGATGATACCTATATAAGTTTTAAATTTTTTCTAAAATTTTTAAAAAATATGTCAGAGTTTAAAAAATTGTCAAAAAAACTCTCATTTTTTAATTTTTCTTTTTAAATTTGTCTATTGTTAAAATCTTTGTATAATTTCCTAAAATTTCGAATTGTATATCATTTAACATAGAATATTATAAGCTTTCAAACGGTAGATTTTTTAAGTTTCTGACATTAGTTTTTACAGGAATATTATGATTTAAAGATTGGTATGTTCATGGGCCATGCGCGTGGAGCCATACCGGTGGTAGTGTGATGTAGGTATTATAACTTTTGATAGGAGTTTAATTTCGTCATAAATTTTGAAACCTGTATTCTAGAGATATTAAGAATTTTAAAGAAGCAACAAAAAAAATTCGAATTTTTTTTTTCATAAGTAATCCTCCTTAAAGAATTACAATTGGTAACTGTACCTTATTTGACTATGAGTATCAAAAAGCAATTATTAAAATAGTAAAATAATGTAAAGACGTAACTGTACATTTCATTTTGCAATAAAACTATTTATTTTCTCAATTTTTTTATCTACGTTATGTATCCACATTTCAATTTACCATTTTCGTAAAGAAAATGTGAAAAACGAAGACTTCAACTGTTTAACTATATCAAACGCACGGATCGTGAGCGACTGGACTGTCCCAAATGGAAAGGACCAATTTCATTATTTTCGTCTGTGCTTTCTAATACTTTTAGTAAAATAAGATATAGTTACCAAACTTTATGCTTTAATTTACAATTTTTCTAAAGAAAATGTAAAATTTTTACTGGAATGGAATAAAACTTTGACATGCTGTTAAATATAGTTTTTTTATTTTTTTGGTACCTAAATAATAAATGTAAATATCATAAACTTAGAAATTCATTGTTTACCCAAATGTTTCTAGACAATATCTGGATATTCAGGATATTTTATAGATGTCCTAAGGATATCCATTCGTTAGGGAAAATTAGGATATTCCTAGAACATCTTATACATGTCCATGGACATTAATAAATGAAATCATTATACCGTGATTTATTACTTAATGTGAAGTAGCTTTTATTCACTTGTAGGTTAATATAATGAATAATTATTGAATAGTAGAAATTAAATGCAATCAGGGATAAATAAGTCATATATCTTATATGTATATTTGAGTTTGTTACTTTTCTTATTATTATTAATATTTTAAATAATGGTGGTAATAACAAAGTTTTTAATCTCAATATTCAATGATAGTATTAAGACAGAATTTTAAAATAATAGTATTATTGTTATAAACATTATCTGCTCAATACTTAAAGAATGTTTTAATTAATTGACTAAAAAATGTTGCATAATACAATATGGTGTACTTGTGCTGCTAGTGCGAATATATTACTAGTATTATCATTATAATTAAAAAATTGAAAACTAAAGAACCAAACATGATCACAATAAATTTATGGAGTTAAGGTCTCTGAATGGCAATTCCAAGCAGTGGTAGAGTTCAGAACTGTGTAACTTCCGATAGCAGAGAACGACACGGAAAATGAATATTCATCAGTAAACACCGTTAAACCTAGTAGAGGCCATGGCTAGCAAGAGAAGAGAAAAGGAAATAGGGAGAGAATGATAGGCGTATGAACGAGGATGAGCTCATGACTTGTGCAGATATCACCTTGTTCAAGCCCGAGAGGAAACTTGTAATGTTTACGATATTGCATTTTGGATACGTTGGTCAAGTGACCAACGTCCACCCTTGCCTAATCTCTGTTCCACGAGCAGCGCCTCTTGACTAGATACAGCACGTTGAACAAGCAATTATAATAATAATTACCCTATTAACATATACTGCATTGTTCCATGAAATGATCATCCTTAAAAGGAGAAAAGATTCGTTTAATGAAAAAAATGGAAAAATTTTTTGGTTGAAACTAACATTCATTAGAATAAAAATTTTATTTACAGAAAGTTTTATTTACTTTATTAAATACTTTATTATTGGGGAGACCGATATAAAGTAGGTCACAGGGTAAATCTGGTCACTAGCAATTTGATGCTATGAACTAAACTTAAGATGCACAGTCGGCCAGTAAACATCTAAAAGTGGACAAAAGTCCACTTTAGAATTATAAATTTTACATATAATATCCTTAGAGATCCTTGGATCTTATTTTTTACAAAGGAAAATTTTGGTCTACTTATTTATTTCTTAAATTAATCAATTTTTTGACTCGTAACCTGTATTTCTTTATTATAAGATATAGAATTTTAAAGAAAAGTAAAAAAATTAAAAATAGTTTATGTAATAAAAAATAAAGCACATTTGATATTAATAAATTTTTTTTTCCAAATTCATTTCATATTATTTAATAGTTCTCCTAACTTCCGCATTAAATTCCATAAGCTAAATATGAAACATCATCTAAATTTAATATAGTATTAGATTCATTTGCCTATTTTTGCTCATTTTGGATTTTAAAAAAATTATAAGCGAAATAATGCATAGTGGACCAGGAGACCCTATTTCGTGGCTAAAAGTTTAAATGTACTAAAAATCACTTCAAACTCGTTAATCAGGGATTATCGGAGCCACTGATTACAAATCAAACGTTAGATTTTTAAAATTCAAAATGTCGGATCAAATATGTCGAACAAATTTTTAAAAAATTCAACGAATTTCATTCAATGTAGTTTCTTGGGAGGTTTTTATGGTTGCTGATTAAGAATTCGACGCCAGATTTCCAAAATTAAAAATGTCAAAACCAATATGAGAAATAAATTTAAAAAATTTCAACGGATTCGCTTTAAACTCGCTGCGTCATTGTTTCAGTGGTCGATGATTACGAATCCGACGTCAGTTTTTCAAAATTCAAAATGGCAGATTTAAAAATGCGTAAAGAATTTTAATCTTTCTGGTTATTCGCTCTTTACCGAATCCAAAATCATGGAGCCAGGACGTGTTGAAATCAAACTTTGAAGAGGATCTGTTAAATCTTTAAAAAATTGTTCGCCATACTGCATCTACCATATTGAATTTTGCAAATCTAACGTCTGATTTGTAATCATCGACCCCGAAAATAGGGGTTTTTAATTTGCTTACAGCTAAATTAAATAAGTTTTTAAATTAACATTCAACTTATGTTAACGAACTTTCGTTTAGTTTTATGAATCCAACATGGAATCAGAGGCGGTCAAGTGTTTTTAGAGGTGTCAGAAAATAACACTGCAAAAAATGGCGTCTAAAAATAAGACGTTTAGACATTTATAAACGTCTTATGTAAATAAGCGTCTTATTTGAGCGTCTTAAATGAAAAACATAACCTCCAAATACATGCATTTTAGAAGGCAAATAAGACGCTTATAAACGTCTAAAATGTGACCACGTAAACGTCTTAAACCAAGACGCTCTTTTTTTACAGTGAACGTTCTTTGCAGTTTTAAGTTTTCGATCATTAATTTTGAGTCTTAATTTATTTGGCTAAGTTTTTTTGATGATATTAGATGTCCTTTTTCGAAGTACATATATATGTATATAGTTTTGTTTTATTTCAAAAATATTTAATTTAATTTATTCTGAAATGTGAGGAATACATTCGGGGTAAAGCCGCCCAATGGGAAATTTACAACTGGCGGAGTACTGCGCCAGCACTGGCAGCTACGCTGACAGACAGCACTGGCATAACTCTGGAATGATAACGCTGTCTAACGCTGGCGAAGTACTGCCTGCCAGTGCTGCCAGACAGCGCTGGCGCAGCACTGGACCAGTGCTGGCTGAGAATATTGCCGCAATAAATGCCGTATTGTTATTAATTAGACGTAAATTAATAATTATAAATAATTTAACAACAAAATGGTAAATAATATTAATAAATAGTTATTATTCATAAAATATTTCTCTTCTTAAAGAAATTGTATTAAAGATGGAGACTAACAATGGATATAGTAAATGAAGTAGAAAAAAATTGTTTATAACATTTAAAAATGAAATATTAAACAATTACAGAAAGTGTGCATTAGATTTTCATATTTTAGTACCTAACGATTGGAATCTAGAAATACCGCAAACCTATGAAAATAAACAAAATTGCTGACGAGGGGAATTGAACCTACGACCTACGGACTAACAGACTAACGCTCTAACCACATGTGTACAGTAGGGTGTCCGTTATTTCCCAAGTTATCTATTTTCATTTGGGTATCGTCAAAATCGTTTCTTTTTGACCTAAAAACAATTCTAGAAACAGCGGCGTAGCTAGGGCTGGTGTCACCCGGGGCGATTCTGTATAGTGTCACCCCCCCCAAAAAAAAGCAAAGTCATAATGAAGAATTAAAAAAACTACTATATAAAACTATAAACTGAAAGAATTAAATTCTTTTATTTTAAAAAGTACATTAATTAAAGCTTTAATTTTGTATAAAACATATTCACGAACAGATATTTTATTTCAAATCATCATAAATGATTTGTTTAATTAAATTTTACTCTTCTGGCTTTAATAGCTGCAAAATTATTGATTATTTCATCAAAGTCTATGTTTTCAGATGTTTGTTTTTCAATGGATAATATAGCTAGATCGTTCAGTCGAGTCTGAGACATCGTAGACCGCAAGTAATCTTTTATTAGTTTTAGTTTAGAAAAACTTCTTTCACAACCTGCATTTGATACGCAAATTGTTAATAATAATTTTAATGACAAAGTTAAATTAGGCAATGATTCAACAAAATCCCATTTTACAATAAAGTTTAAAAAATCTAAAGCGTTCCAATGGTTTGCTTCCAATAAATCCACTTTAGCTGCTTTCAAATGTCTGCGAAACCTGGGAATTTCCAACAACAGCTCAGCTTCTACTACTTCGTCATAAAAATCAGTAAGTTTCCTTAGTGTGTCTTTCAATTGTTCTTCGCTTGCATACAAAATACTATCAGTTTGAATGGCTTCAAACGTTGATAATATATCTTGAATAGATTTTGATCTCGTTGCGATTTCTGAATGAAATCTATCCAAGCATTCAATCATAGATCTTCTAATTTCTGCCTGCAATGTAAGGCCAGCATCATTAGCTTGCTCTCCAGCCATTCTCTTCCTGAAGCGAACCCTTCTTTCTGTTTTAAGGCCATACTCTTCTGCTGTAAGCAGAGCACGATCAATGGATTTGTCAACAACATTGTTTCGTTCTTCATGGACAAAAAGTCGAAGCGATTCTAATTTTGCTGCTACTTTATCAAGACTTAAAGCTTTTGTTTGCAAGTATACTTGCGTGCAGTCAATTTCTTTTAAAACCTCTTTCCAAAAATATAAAAAGCAAAGAAAAGTGAAATTACAGACAGCGGGTAAAAGGCTCTGTGCAGAACCTCTGGTATCTACATTTTCTTGAGGATCACACAGTTCTTCGATTGCTGCAATCACTTTATCGAAATTTTCTTCGACGGCTTTTACAGCAGCATAGTGAGCACTCCAACGGGTTGTTGACAATCTTTTGACAGAACAGTCGCAATGATTTAGTAATACATCCCATCGATGGGTTGATGCAGAGAAAAATACGAAAATTTGCTCTAAAGTTCCAAAAAATGAAACACACAATGCATTTTCAGCAAAAGAATGAACCCCACATAAGTTGACTAAATGATTCACACACCCGTTGAAAAGAGCTTTTTCGTTTTTCGATTTTATGATGGCTTGAACTCCACCATGTACTCCACTCATAACAGCTGCATGATCATAACCCTGACAACGACACATCATTATATCTAGACCATCACTTTCAAGATTGGCAAAAATTTCTGAACTTAAATCTGAAGCCTTTTTTCCTTTTAACGGGAAAAACCTTAAAAAAACTTCTTTGATTTCCACTTTTCCGTTATTAATTTTGACATACCGAATTACTTCTGACATTTGGTCAACATGTGATGTATCAGGAGTGCTGTCAAACATCATACTAAAATAACCAGCGGATTTGATTTCTTGAATAAGTACCTTTCTAACATGGCTGGCCAGCACATTTAAAAATTCATTTTGTGTTTCCGGTGACAGGTATGATGCATGTCGATCCAATCTTATCGTGTGTTCTTTCAATACAACATCATACTTAGAGAGAAGTTTTACCATTTCAAGAAAGTTTCCTCTATTCGTTGAATTTTCACTTTCATCGTGTCCTCGAAATGCTAAATTTTGTTTGGACAAAAATAGAGTTATATCTAATAACCTCGTTAAAATATTTCTCCACTTTTTCTTTTCTGAGACCATATTTTTCAACAATTCGCTGTCTATAGTATTTTCTAATTTCAGACCAGTTTCAAAAAGTTTCCATTTTTCAAAATTTCCAAGGTGTTCTTCCGAATTTTCATGTTGTACCACTTTAGGATTTAACTTCCACCATTTGAAAAATCCGCTTACAAATAAAGACCCGGTTTCATCACTGCTGGCAAACAAGCGACAGCAAAAACAATATAATTGTTTGCTATTTGGCGAATAGATCATCCATTTCCTTAGAATTTTTTGACCATTAGGCATTTCTTTAAAAAACCATTCTTTCGATAAGCAGCGCATTTCTCCTCTAACTTTTAACCCTTGTCGCATTGTTGACTCAAATGGTCCGTCCTTGTTTTGAAAATGACAACTCCCTTTATTCATTATTGAAACACGACAATTTTCTGAAAGTGGTAACTGCCAATGTGAAACATCTTGCAAAATATCCAAGCAGATAGTTTTCTCCGATTCATCATCTCTCATTTCATCCTGTTCGAAACTCTCCGATTTGTTTACATTATGTTCTATTACATTGTCATTATTTAGTTTTTCTTCACTATTAGTCGACGATACACGACTGTCGAAAGTGTTTTCAGCATCAGGCATCGTAATTTCAGTGTCATGATGATTTTCTTCAACTTTTACATACTTGAGAAGAGATCCAGAAATACTTTCTATTTCAGTTAGTTTTGCCTTTTTATCTTTTCTTTGCTGATAACCACTTTTCCTTTTAGATGTATGAACTCCTTGAGGCATGGTCAACTTAATGCACTGTACTAATAAAAAATTAAAATTTTACTTTGACCCTGATATGTTAATATGGAACAAATAGATATGTGTAAAAATAATAATGTTAAGTTGCATTACTTACCACAATTTCTACAATTACAAATATACTCACTTATAAATAATTGCTTTATATAATTTAGACAATTGTGGTTATGGAAAGAAAATGAAAACAAACCAATAGGTTATTCATATTTTCAAAACATTTTCATAAACAGCTGTTTATAAAATGCACAGATGGAAAACGCTGTTCTTTTCTGAACATTCTTAACCATAGAATCTTTGATTTTATGTAGATGCATTCAGCAGTATGGAACCATTTAAAGGCGCATCCTCAGTTTGGACAATATTGCAAAAAATCCTTGGGGTGGAGTCCCATGGCAGCGTTTTGCGTTGTGTTTGGTAACTAGGCCATGCGTGTGAGAGAGATGGAGATATACGTTCGCTATATCTGCACTCATAACCTAGTTACAAAACGCAACGCAAAACGCTGCCATGGGACTTCACCCTTATTGGTGAAGTTTGACGCAGGCGCATAGCGTTATTTCTTCCACATAGAAAAAATCTCAATTTGAAAACGATATGCATACGTGATCACCTTCAAGGTGAAATTTCATAACAGTGGAAAAAATAGGCTATTTGAGTTTGCCTAGATCCCACTTGCACTCATGAAATAATGTGTTTTAATTGAATTGTGTTTCACCGATAGACAGTAAGGTGACTCTATTTTCATTGTAAAAAAATTTTTTAATTCAAAAAAATTTTTTTTACTAACTGAGTGTCACCCCCTAAAGAGTGTCACCCGGGGCGGACCGCCCCCTCCGCCCCCCCCTAGCTACGCCGCTGTCTAGAAACTAGAAAAAAATTTTACGATGCCGTTTAACCCTGCCTAAATAACAATACTTTTCCCATTTAATTAACATGGGATTTTTGCACTTTTTAGAAATTAATTTTTATTTTGTTTATAATACTCTTTGACTAACCAACAATGCTTGATTTTGCTTCTATTATGATTCCTTTAGATAGAGAAATTTTCATATTATCGCGAAAAATTTATTACACAAGTATTAAAAAGGTCAATTTCATTTTTATTGATTTTTCTGATTATTTTGCTAAATCTACTTATTTATTAATTTTTATTCGGTATTTCATTGAAAGTTTCTTGTTTATATAAACATTTTCTATGAATTTCAAGCGGGCTAAACCATTCTGGCAATCAGGAAAATTTTTTTTTGAAAAATTTATTTTTACAAATTTTCAAATTGTTAACGTTCACGTCAACAATGTTATAACGATTCATTTGTTTTTAAAAGTGCAAGTTAACAATTTGGAAATTTGCAAAAATAAATATTTAAAAAAGAATTCTCTTCATTGACAGAATGGTTTAGCCCGCTTGAAATTCATAGGAATTGTTCATAATTATTTTAAGAATTTGTAGTAAAAATTTGATAACAAAAAAGGTGATGTTTTTGAGAAAATTGATCTTATTATTTTCAGAAAATCATTCCCTATTTTTATAATTTTAAATATTTTTTCAAATTTCAAACTGGATTGTGAAGAGGACAAGACCACCTACAAGACACAAGAAAGAAAATTCAATTTTACTCAAAAGAAAAAAAATGACAAGCAAAACAATTTTTTTTCTATAACATGAAGTTAGTCGACATGCCTGATTTGAAAAGGATTTAGTCTACTGTGTGATTCTTGGATAGTTTATGAATTGAAATTATTGTTATGGTCAAATTGGATGTATAAAACACGAAACTTTTAATGAAATATCGAATAAAAATTAATTAATAAGTAGATTTAGCAAAATAATCAGAAAAATCAATAAAAATGAAATTGTTCTTTTTAAAAATTGTGTAATAAATTTTTCGCGATAATATGAAAATTTCTCTATCTAAAGGAATCATAATAGAAGTAAAATCAAGCATTATTGGTTAGTCAAAGAGTATTATAAACATATTTATAAACATTCATAAACTCGGCTAGACTACGCCGAACAATCGTCTGAGTACTAAGCCAGTGGTGAACATCGGCACTACACTGGCATTTCCCATTGGGCGGTCACTTAGTTTTAAATTTAAAATTAAGAATAAAATAATTTCACATATTATATTTTAACAATAATAAAATTTGTAACTTGTTAAAACCAACATTGTAACCACATTTCACTTTCTCTTAATAAAATACATATAACATTACTTAAATCCATAGTTGTAATTCATGAAACCTATATTTATTATTTTTTAAATCAATATTTATTGTTTATAGAACTCATAGTTTATCAATAATAAATCATAGGTACTTAAGACGAGAATAGGACGAATTGTAATATTTAAAAAATAAAACTGTTCCGTCTTGAAAAAATCAAGTGACCGGATTTATCCTGAATATTTGTGATTTTGAAATTTGGTATATGTGAATTAAAAATTATCTACACAGAAAAAAAAAGTCTTAAAACTGTGAAGGGCTAATTTTAAAATCAGGCTTAATTTTAGTCTGTAACGATATTTTAGCCTCATAATTAACTTAAGAGTATTGTTAACACGCCTTAATCTTAAAGCAATAAATATTTATGACTTAATTTTATATGTGAGTCTTAAATGTAGTCTCAGCGAGACTAGTAGAAACTTTAAGAACTCAACAGATAAAATGAAGTCGAAATGTAGACTAGTTTTTAGTCCCCTAGCGTCTATAGTCCTCTGGAAGGGGAGACGCGCTTGGGCGTGATCAGGTGACGTGTCATTACTCATTAGTTGTCGTGGCGTTGCCTTGAGTGTACGTGTTTCCTTTATCTGTTAATCACCTATAGATTTTCATATTTTTGTGTACCGAATAAATAAAATAAAAAAATAAATAAATAAATTCATTGCTACAATATTATTCAGAGAAAAAGTTGCGCAGTAAAAATCGAAAAGTATCGAAATGCTTATACAAAATGGTGACTTTTATATATTGTTACAACTCGTTTATATTTATACATAGAAGATAAATTTAAAACAAATATGTATGAAAAGTTTTTATTATATTATGTGCAAGCATAGTTACACTGAACTGAAATGAATTTGATTCAATTAACCGATTTCTTGTCTATTATTAAATAATATATGACACTTATAAGGTACATGTTAACAAATGTCATCATGAAAGTAGATGAAAAATTAAACCTCAATAATAAAAGAATAAATAAATAATTTCATTTTATTATTTTAAATAGCTAATTTAACTTTTCTTACAGATGCTTATATTACAATCTGTTACCGGCATCTCCTGATATAGTTAATAACTATAACTTTATATTCAATAGAAAAATAAATTTGAACTGTATTATTTACTACTTTTTAGTATTTAAGAAAGCTTTATTTTAGTCACTATATTGACTTGCGAGTAAATTGAAGTTTAAAAGGAAACTACTTTTAAGTCCACTTTTTGGCTATCGGCTATTTTTAAGACTACATAGCGACTTCATTCAAGCCTGAGTACTGACTTTTTTTAAGACTCTTTTTACAAACTAATTTTAAGTCTAGGATGACTACTTTTTGTTACATCTTAAAATTAGCTCGTTTGTAGACTTTATTCAAGACTTATTTTTTTCTGTGTATCTGTAAAACTAAAAAGGATAAATTTAAAACAAATATGTATGAAAAGTTTTTATTATATTATGTGCAAGCATAGTTACACTGAACTGAAATGAATTTGATTCAATTAACCGATTTCTTGTCTATTATTAAATAATGATACTTATAAGGTACATGTTAACAAATGTCATCATGAAAGTAGATGAAAAATTAAACCTCAATAATAAAAGAATAAATAAATAATTTCATTTTATTATTTTAAATAGCTAATTTAACTTTTCTTACAGATGCTTATATGTATTACAATCTGTTACCGGCATCTCCTGATATAGTTAATAACTATAACTTTATATTCAATAGAAAAATAAATTTGAACTGTATTATTTACTACTTTTAATTATTTAAGAAAGCTTTATTTTAGTCACTATATTGACTTGCGAGTAAATTGAAGTTTAAAAGGAAACTACTTTTAAGTCCACTTTTTGGCTATCGGCTATTTTTAAGACTACATAGCGACTTCATTCAAGCCTGAGTACCGACTTTTTTTAAGACTCTTTTCACAAACTAATTTTAAGTCTAGGATGACTACTTTTTGTTACATCTTAAAATTAGCTCGTTTGTAGACTTTATTCAAGACTTATTTTTTTCTGTGTACAAAACTACTAGTAAGTAAATTTGTAGTCTCCTTGCTACATTAAGAAATAACGGAATTTTTAAGTAACTGTTATGTAACACGAAATTAACACTCTTTTATAATTATTGTTAGAGAATTATGATATTTAATCTCTCAGTATAAACTTCTGTATTACAACAGAGGGACGAATCAGAAAAGTAATTTTATATTTTACATTTCTATGTTTGTAAAACAAGATTAAGTTTATTAATTTCTATAAATTAATATTATTATTATCATTATGTGATTGTCAGCATTATTAATTTCTATTATTCATTTCCAAAACTGTTTGTGTAAAATTGCTACAAAATTGTAACATTGTTACGTAAATGTTATAGAATTGTTATGGAACACGGCGACTAATCTGTGGTAGACATTTTTATTAACCTGTTACAAATAAAAAATTGGTGCAAAGTTAAAACAATTATATAACATTTACATGACATCGTTACACACATCTGAGTAACAATTTTGTATCAATTTTACGCAAACAATTTTAGAAATTAATAATGCTGATATAATTATGAAATAATAATATAAATTATTTGAAAATCCATAAACTTAAACTTGATTTACAAACATTTACATGTTCTAACATATTTGTTTAAATATTAGTTCTCTAACAATAGTTACTAGAACAGTAAATCATGCTACATAACAGTTATGTGCGAGGCGCAGTAATTCTTCCCAAAAGACATTTGCTCGAATGGACATTTGATCGAACGGCATTTGATCGAATAGACATTTGCTCGAAAAGACATTTGATCGAATGG